AACAAAACAGTTCAAATGGACAAAGGATAGGCGATCTTCTCCCATGTGATTTACTGCCTTTGAAAAACCAGTGCAGGGTCAGGTATGAGTTGGTCATGACTCAACGGCACACAGAAACAATAACAAGGTGGTTGATAGCTTAAAAGATGATGGTCATTAAGTTTCCTCCTAGGATGCTAAATAAGTAAGTTCAAAATACACAGGAGGAAGAGCAGGATTTATTTTAAAAAATTGAGCTTGGTGCTCTTTATTTTAAAAGAAAGTCTGTTTCACAATTTCTATTACAAATGGGGGGAAAAAGAAAACACCAGAGTAAAAAAGTCCATTATAAAATTCAGAAAGTGATATGAAGGTGCAAGAGAGGATGCTACTTCACTCACTATGCTGAGTGAAGTAACTCAGTCTCGTAAGGATAAATACTGCATAAGACCATTACGGAAAAATTAGTAAAATTCTTTGTCTCTCTCTCTCTCTCTCCCTCCATCTCCATCTCCATCTCCATTTCCAGAGAAGATGAGGAAAAAGTGAAGAGGGTGGATACAAGTGGAAGGGAGAAATTGCTAGGACAGCAATGGCTAACAGGGGTGGGAGTGAAAGAACCAATGCGGACTTGAAAAGACGGGGTAATAACAAGCATAGATGAACAGGAATTCATTATATGAAGCACAGTGTATGATTGTATGAAACACAATGTGACTGAAAAATTATGTGAAATACAATGCACATGAATGAAACACAATGTATACAAATTCTGTATGCAAACCAATATAAAATTTAAAAAGGGAAAATGCCAGACACACAAGTATTTGGGAATCTTTCAACAGTAATAACAGACTACTTCCACTGTCAAAAATCCCGAATTCTGGTGATGGGTGACAAGTGGGATCCTCCCTGGGTGAGCACAGCTGATTGGTATCCATAGAGAGCTCTTTGCTGTCTTGAGTGTGATGGTTAATGTTATATGCCAATCTGACTGGCCATGGGGCCCGGGTTAGCAATTGGGCACCATTGCCCTGACCAGCTCACCCACTAGTCAAACACTAGATGCCACAGACGAAGTCACGGCATGTGATGAATCAGTGGGTTACCGTAAGTAGGTAGTCATCAGGCAATCTGTTAAAGGTCTGAAGAGCAAAAAGGAAACTTTCAGTTTGGAGTATTCTGTCTTTGGACGACGAACAGGTATCTTGCCAGAACACGGTTGTGGTCACCTGACCCTATGGATTTGGGACACAAGCCATCAGAAACCTCTAGCTTGTCTTATGAGCTATAGGTTCTGACTTTGGCAGCAAAATCATCAAACTGCTATTTCCAAAACATCAGAGTTACTGTATACGAAAGCAACATCATTTTAAATGTCATTATTGAAGCATCTGTCTAACATCTACTAACACAGTTTTAACATGCTCCTGTGGAACTATCCTGGTTGCTGTAATTTACTTGTTCAGAGTGGAACTTTACATTGCTTTCTAGAATCAATCTAACTCCAGAGATAATAACACAACCTTAGTTATGTTTCACATTTCATCTGGAGCCTGGCATTAAGGCTCAAAGCTACTGAGGTCAGACCATATAACACCATTCCCAGAAAATGCACTGTGACAGAGACTGTGGGGCAGAATGAATTCATGTGTTGCTGATCTCAGGAGGATCAGATGCATTGGAACTCAGCATAAGCTCACTTCTTAAAACAACTGTTGCTGAGAACTGGCCTTAAGACATAGGCAGGGCACACATAGTCCTACTTTAATTATTGAAATATATCCATTTCACAGAGCATTGTTTACTCTGTAACTAGCCTATTTATGATGAAAGATTTCTTTTGCACTTTGATTGCCTCACCCCTCAAAGATGTGGCAAGTGTTGATCCTCTAAAAAAAGTCTACACTTCTTGAAGATCATAGAATACATTCATGTATATAGTGTAATCAGTTTACACTAAGCAGCAAAATTCAAAGACATACAGTAACATTTCTTTATAGTCTCCCCAGTTTTAGAAATGCAATTTGGAAAGGTTTGTGTTGTTTCTCTTTAATTGAAATTCATAAATTATAAGTGAGCCCCTTTATTTTTATTTAGCTTTGTATCCAACGTTAAAGGGAGTTTTGGTTGCTTAGTGGTAAGAAGCTGCATTGTCAATCCAAAGATACATGGTTGAATCTACCAACTGTTTTCTAGGAGAAGGATGGGCAGTCTCCTCCCATGAGATCAACTGCCTCTGACAACTCACTGGAGGGTCAGCTAGGAGTAAGTTCTGACTCGATGACATGCAGCAACCAATATCCAACCTTAAATGAGTTATTGAATATGGTGCTTTTTTAATATTAGAGAGTCAAAGAGATATTTAGCTCCCCAATGTTTATAATTCTGAATTTTTAAAATAATTTTATTTTTATTATTATTTTTTATGTGTGTGCTGTCAAATCAGATCTGACTGGTACAGGAGGTGATTATTCCTCCTTCTTCAGCAGAGCATCTGGTGGATTTGAACCACACACCTCTGGGATTGCAGTGTAGCTTCTTGCCACTAGGCCACCAGAGCTCGCCAATTCTGAAATTTTTAATTCTACTTTTCTAACTCATTAAAAGATTTTAAGTCATAAACATACAATTTCAAATCATTAATAATGGACAAAAGACAAAATCTTAGTAACTGGAGTCTTCATTTACTGGAAATATGATGGCATTTTCCAATTTCAGGGATCATCAAGGTTGGATGATTGGCTAAATGACAAACTTTTATTTGTGATTTAATATGTCGGCTTCCCAGTTTCTCGCTCATTAAATTACTCTATCATATTGTAACATTCACATCACTGAGATAAAACCAAAGTCCCCTCATATATCTTACTAGTTCTGGAACACATGCTTTGGCTGACCCCTATAGAATATTCATGAATACTAATCTTAAGAGAACTAGCTAACAAAAACATTCTAAATTTGTACATCATCACTTCGTTAATATATTTTTATTCTCAGTTACGCCTCAGAGTACAGTGTAACATCAGGTGAAACAGAGTTAGGAACCTTCTGATATCTCAGATGAAGAAATTGTCAACTCATAGTAAGGAAGGGTTTATTCTTATCAGCTCTGCAATGTGGTTTGATGTGATGCTTCGAAGAGGGTAAATGTATTCACTGGTGGGTGCCATCCAATAGACTCACCTTCACTTCAAATGCAAATACCAGATTAGCCAAATTCCAGCACTGATCATGTATTTTGCAGGATATCTCTTTTAACCATGTTTTCCAAGGTTACAGTGGCTGCACAGGGCCCTTCTGAAACCAGAGTGGCCGCCAGGGATCAAGTGCTTCAGCGCAGAAACACGTACCATGCAGGCGTTGGTGTAACAAAGGGAATACGACTTAGACTCTGTCCTCCATAAATTCTCACTACGAGCAAGTCAGCATTTTCCAGACCCACCAACCCATCACTCGCAGCTGTTTGTTTATAAAATGTCTAGGAGGATCAGCAGATGCATACTTTATTTCTTCTATTTCATGCTTTATTATGCACTGTGATTTTGATCAAACCCTTTACTTGCTCCATATAACACTTTTCACTGTCAAATAAAATCTTTCGTTAAAAAATATTACCATGGAGCGTTGTATTTTATAGTTTGGAGACAAATGTAGGCATAGACCACACAGCTCAAGAAGCAGTTCTGAATTATTAAAAATTATTATGAAAGTAAACCTTCCTTTCTAGACATACCCCCACCCCCACACCGAGGTCTTTTCCTTTTAACTAAGAAGCTTCTCTCTCCTCCTTCACCACCCATGGTCCAATTCTCCTGAAGTTTCTATTCATTCAAAGCTCTTCATATTCAACATTGATCACTTATTGATCTTAGGATCAATCTTCTAACCATTTACCACATCCACAAAACTAAGTCAAGATACCACTGATTGAACAAAGCACTTGTTGACACTGGAAATTCAGTGTAAATGAATTGTGCTGTCCATGCATCATCATGGCTGTTACTGTACCATCATGATTCCTAAGATAAAGACACAGTTCTTAACATCGCTGTTAAACACACTAAATCCACCTCTACCTCTACTAATATTCCTTTCACATCCAGATGAAAAAAGATAACATTTACTTGGTAAATGAGATACATTTTATATTATTTATCATAAAAGAGGAATCCACAGGTGGTACAGGGTTAATACTCTCAGCTGCTCTTTAAAAGTTTAGAGGAAGAAAAGTCTGCAGATTACATCTGAAACATCAGCCCTACGGGGCACAGTTTTACCTGAATTAGCATGGAATTGCCTTGAATAGACTCAGTAGCAACTGACTATAACAGGCTGTCACTGTTCGAAGCCATCAGGTCAATGACAATTCACAGTGGTCCCATGAACAACAGACTGGAACCTTGCCCTGTCCTTCGCCATCCTCAGAACCGTGCTCGTGCTCACGCCCATTGGTACAGTCCCTGAGTCGATCCATCTTCTTCAGACCCTTCTCTTTCTTTGACCTCCCACCCGCCCCCCGCCCAGTATGATGACTTTTTCCAAGGACTGATCTATTCTGACAACATGCTCAAGTGTGGGAGATGAAGTTTCACCATTTCTGCCTCTCAGGAGCATCATTCTGGTTGCATTTCCTCCAGGACAAACTTGTTTAATTCCTTTTGCAATCCCCAGTATCTTCAATACTCTTCTCTAACACCACAGTTAGAAGACAATGATTATTATTTGGTCTTATTCATTTAATGTCCAAATTTTGGATGTACATGAGGCAATTGAAAATGCCATGGCTTGGATCAGGCATAAGGTATTATAAATGCTTAGTTAGGGATGGACATCACTCACACACACACACACACACACATTCTCTCTCTCTCTTGTCTTCAAACCATCCTTCTACGTTTATCTTCTGGATTTGTGAGGAAAAGCCCCCACCCCTCTCCAAAGCCTCAACCACAAAAGCACACCTCAAACTTGCTACCTCTGCGCCTTGCAAAAGTCTCCCCTGTGGCCGAGGAACTTACTTGCTACTGAGGCAGCGTCTCAGGGAGTAGGAGGCCCCTCCACCGCAGGTGCGTGAACACTCGCTCCATGGGCCCCAGGCGTCCCACAGGCCATCCCGATCCTCCTCGGAGCGCGCCGTCCTGGAGCTCTGCGAGAAACGAGAAACCGGTGAGTATTTTGAAGCACACAGCCCAAGACGGCGTAGCCGGTAAGGCCATACACGGTGGGCCTGCTCGGGGCAGAGCTGTGCACCAGATTATGAGATCTCTTCCAGTTAGGACGCATGCGTGGCAGCTGTGGCACTGTGGCTGCTTGCACGTTGTTATGACATTTCTAGAATTATGTCACCAGTATTGCCAATACCACAGGGTCATCCAGAGTGAGCAGGTTTCTGCAGACCCTCTAGAGTCAGTCAGTAGAAGGAAAGAATCCTAGAAATAAAGGCTTAGGGATTTAGTTTCCAAAATGAAGCAAAGCAAACAAACAAAAACCCAACAAGATACAACAAAAGAACTATTGCTGTTTAACTGATTCTCACTCATAGCAATCTTGCAGGACAAAGTAAGTAGACCATCAGTTCACTTGTCACGTTGTATCTGCTGTGATCTTCCAGCGGTTTTAAGTTCCTACACAATGCGGCACCAAATGGCTCACAGAAATAAACTGGTAACCCCAAAGCCTGTCCCTCTGAATGGGAGTATTTACTGAACTCTAAACCCTGGTTTTCAGGATGAATAAAATCCATTTTTAATTCCTGAAACAAGGAGTACTCTGCTACCAGAGTTTAATTAGTGAGCGAGAAAACCCTCTTATTATTGAAGGACATATTCCCAAACTTCTTCTCCAAAGGCCTGTGAAATTAATCCCCTAGATTATATGCAGAAACTCCCTTCCTTTTTTTGCCCTACGTGCTTAGAAGACTGGGCTTCTGGATAAAGTTTACAGCATTTGCCTGCTGCAGTAACTATCTGTGCAACAAAGATACATTTGTACAGTGCAATTCCCCTCATTTTATTCCACTAAACCTTACAGAAATGAAACCCAGCATGTCGAATGCTAGGCTTCTTGCAGTAATTAAAAAGAGCGAGATGGGTGATTACAAACCACAAGGCAAGCTGTTCAATGACTGCTCCTGCAAATAGCAGGCTCACACAGAAACCACACATGGCACTCCGTGTGAACTCTGCTTTCACATGGGATAAGAATTCCACAAAGCCAGGTCCCACCGGGATGTTCCTCTGGCTCCTTGTTGGGTTAAAGTATTCATGAAATATATAATGCGGATTTTGTTTGCTTTTCTAGAAAATAAAGTGGCTTTGAACATAGTACTAGGTTGTTTGACTGTTTTCATGATCCTTGTCTGAAGTAGCGCTGGAAAAAGACGACAGTGAAGTGTCATTGACTGAACATTACAACTCTTCACAAACTGCAAATTCCGGTACGAGACAAAGTGTGTGCCCTCATTTCTCTGAAAGAAAACACTGTAGCTGAGTAGAATCTACACATAGGCTTATTTCTGAAACTGAAGCAAAATTCAACTTTTTCTTTATCAACTGCAGTAAAGAATTCATTTCAGTGGCACCCATGTTTAATGTTAGCAGAAAGTGAACTGATCTATTTCCTCTTACGTTGTGCCAGAATCAGATTTTTAACAAGAAGCGATGCCTCTCAGGCTGTTGAAAATCTCCAAGTTTTTGTTTACTGCTATTTCTAAGTGGACCCTCAGTGTAAACAAATGTTGGGTGTAGTCCAGTGGAACTCTTGCTTACTCCCCGTACCCTTTTAACTTTATGGCCAGTTTTGAAACCATAAAGTTCACACTTCATGAAGCAAGGGAAGCTGAGGCAGAAGACGAATAAGGATGAGATAAGGTGTGCCTAACACACTTCCTATGTAGCCACTACCTGCCTGTCCATGGAGGGGTGCGTATTGCGAGGACACTGAAGAGGTTTCAGTAGAGCTTCCTGCTCAGTTGGAAGAAGTGGCTGGTGACAGACTTTGGACAATGAGCCAGTAAGAGTCCTGTGGACTGCAGTGGTCTGCAACAATAACGCTGGCCCAAGACAGAGCAGCATTACATTGTCCTATACATACAGTGCCTTGATGAAAGCTATCAATGACAACAAAAGCAATTTCAATTGTACTTGAAAGTGAAAACTCAAGCTTTTCTATATTGCCCCATCACTTTTTTTTAAGTTTGATTGGCATCACATCATTGTAGTATTTTTACCTTAATTTCTCAAATGATTTTAATCTTAATGTCTCAAATGAAGACAAGCTGGAAGCTGTCAATGATTTAATTGCACTTGTATGCACAATCAACATCCATGGTGGGAGGAGCCAAGCAATCAAAAGACGTGCTGCCCTGAGAAAAATCTGCTCTACAGGCCTCCTTAGAGTAAGTATTCACGAGCAAAGATGTCAGCTCAAAGATTTGCAATTGCTTCATGTGCATGTTAAAATTGGAAAATTAATAAAGCAGACCAAATAAGAATGGATGCTTTTAAACTGTGAGGTTGACAGAGTATTGAATATACTTTCAAGGAGCTAACGAATAAACAAATCTGTATGGAAGAAGTGTAACCAAGGTGCTTCTCAGAAGCAAGGATGGCGAAATTTCACATACATGCCCAGATACTTTGGACATGGTGTCAGGAGAGGACAGTCCTTGTAAAAAGACATCATGCTGGGAAAACTGGAGGGTCAATCAACGATGGAAGGATCCTCTGTGAGGTTCTAGGAAGTCTGCTATGAGGGGGACTGACACAGTGACGACAATGAAGAACTTCAATATGACAGAGATTGTGAGAACAGATCAGGTTTCAATCTGGTGTACACAGTGTTGCTGGGAGTTGTAGTAGTCAGCTTGACGGCACTTAACGACAGACAACAGCACTGACTTGTGGACGGAAAGTTGACAAAGAGCCATATATATCAACTGCTTTTTTGTTGGAAAACTCTGTCTTCACCCCCACCCCCATCCACTCACTGCCCCTGGCCAGTTCAGTGACTTTAGGCCTCAGGAACTGCCAATTGCATTGCGTAGCAACTGTGGACAACCTATTATACACAGGACCTTCTTAGGGTTATAGCCAAATATGCTCAGCGCCAACTTGCCCTTTCATGCTATATCAATTGACCTTCACTTTGAAACGAGTGAACCAACCCCTGCACACAATAAATTCATCATCACAATTATCTCAATTGCTGCATAGGAAGCTTTTAAACAATGTGGAAAGAAATCTGTGTCTCTTCTTGAACTAAAAGAAGGCTAAATAAGAACCATGTGCACCTGCTGCGACTTACCTACAAATCTGTCTTAAAGACACAATTCGTGATGGATCACGTTAGAAATCCAGGGATTGTCTGTGCCACCTATGAATCTGAGAAGAGCGTCCTTAAATCCATCAGCCTCAATGTGGTGTCATTTTTCTCGCCATTACTGGCTTATCTAAACATGGTTTTCATCTAATAGTTTTGTGGTTGACTTCAGAGCCAAATGCTGCAACTCAGTCTCAGGTGAACAGCTCCAAGCCTGACAGCTACACATAGTTAAATGCTTTCAGTAATCACATGAAGCAATATTTTCCTTACATCTCACTGTTCAACGGATACCTAACCTTAGAATGACTGATGATGTACCACTTCACACAGAACCTGTTTTCTCTAAAAACTGGAAAGGTTGTCAAGGACTTAGGAAAGACAGTACAGTAAGAAGCCCTAACTAGCAACAAGACAGTAAGATTCCAGAGTTATGTTTACACACACACACCCACACCCACACACACACATATCACCTGGCAAACAGTTTTTTAGATCGTGTCACAAGTATCTGTGCTATGTAGAAGTAACAAGAGTTTGGGCCATTGAGAAGGAAATGAAAATTAAGGTAGATACAGAGGAAAAGAAGAATAGGTTTTTGTGCCATTAAAGTCACAGAACAGCTGAAGTTAGAGTAGAAGCAAAGTATCTTTCAGACATTGATAGATCCTCAGAAGTAACAACATGGCCACGTGGTGTGGCAAAGATCTAAGCAGACTATAGAGGAAAATCAACAGAAGGCACAAACGCCTCCGGTTTTCCTCTCTTTCAGACAGGCAGCATGGAGATCCAGCCATCTGCAGCTGTGTGAGTGACTGCATCACATGCTTCCATATTAAAAAAGGGGGACAACGCCACCAGGGATGAGAGAAACATTCTCCTGCAGTGCGTCCATGCAGAGTAGAAAGTCCACGCACAGCAGAACCCTGCCCACGTACAGAACTCCGTAAACAGAGCTGCAGGCTCCCATGTGAGCTGTCCTGCACACATCAGGTCTCCATAAATCTTATCTAATCCCTGGCTTCTTGAGCAACGTGGAAGACTCGCTCTGCTGCCAACCGTGCGTGGTAGGGGTTTGCAGTCTCCTGCTCTGGAGAGCATACGGCTCCCAAGCAGCTTTATGTCCTTGTAAAAGCCCATTACCTTTCTGGTGCACGTTTCGTAAAGAGCACGGTGTGTGGAGATTGGGGCATGTGCCCGCCCAGATGATATCTGCTGCTGGCTTTGCTTTGGAAAGTCACATCATCTGGTTCTTATCACAGCTGCACTGTTGGGGGACATGATGAACTGCCAGTGACACAGTGCATGGTCTTTCAGAGGCCACTGTATTAAGCCTGTCCCCTGCTACTAAGGAGAAAAGTTAATTCTGTGACAGAGTGTAAAAGCTGTACAGGACACAGGAGGACTTGGGGGTAACTTTCCTTCTTCTTCCTTTTTTCTTTTACTCTGAGTGTGTGTGTGTGCACACACGTGTGCATAATAGTACCCACACACACACACACACGCACACACACACGCACACACACACCCTAATTGCACCTAAGCCTGCAAAGTTAGTGATGAGAAGGAGGGAAAGCTTGGATTTATTAAGTATCTATGTGCCAGAACGCATGCCAAAGGCTGCAAGAATCTGTATTTAATCTACCAACAGGCCAGGTCTCTTGGGGCTTGCTTTTTCTTTCCTTCTTTTACATAAAAGAGAATTGGGGCTCAGAGAGGCTGAACAATCTATAACAGCACGAGAGAATGAACACAACCTGGGGGTATGGCTTTAAAAGTTAAAGCAACTCAGGCACATTGCCAGGCCTCTCTGCATCAGTTTTTTCATCTGTAGATTGGGAACACTGCTTCTTCTCTTACTGGGGTGATTGTGAACACCAATTGAGAGAACATCGAGATTCGTGTAGATCCTGGAATTAAATATGTTAAAATATTTTACCGCACCACCCATGCCATGAATACATGCAGTCGGACCCAAGCCCCATGGTTAACTGCAGGCTGTCAGCCTATGGCCATTCCTGACCTCCTATTGCTTCACACGTTGACCTCCATTTATCTCCCCATTTAAGCATTATCTGTCAGGCCATGCCTAGAACAACAAGAACTAACGTTGTTTGCTTTTCTTTTTAAAAATGTCATTTGTTCTCAGAGTCCTTTCTCACTCTGGTCGCCACATCTTAGAGATGGAATGGGGTCAGCTGCAGAACTTTTCAGGAAACAAAAACCCCAACACTGATCGACGCTCGCTCGAGGCTTCAGGAAGATTTTCACCGTAGAACTCTGCTAACTTGATTTTCTTGTCTTCAATCCAAGGACAAGGCTGGATTACAGCTCATCTAGGAAACTGCTGAGGAACCTCTGGGCATTCTGGAAAGCTCCACCAGAAGACAATTTCACAGCCAGTTGAATTAAAACTAGTAATTGCTGATATGAAAAAAAAAATCCCTAGGAAAGTTGCGACTGGCCATTGGGTGTTTTGAGGCAGCTTATTGCCAAGAAATGCACAGACAGACCATCACTGTCGGATTTTGTTACATCCAAAACATAACCTGAGTGAAAGGAGACACCTGATTACTTTGGCGTAATACTGATAGAATATTAATATAAATATGGCAATGCATTGCTTTTGGATAGAGATTTTAAACTCTTTAAATTTGGATGGAAAAAATATGATCTGGGAGATGCACAGACTTTTTTTTTTGCCCTAGAAAGAGCCTGTCATTCTAG